TTTTTTTTTTTTTTTTTTTGGGACCATCCGCACGGGCAACACAAGGTGACTCGGGCGGCCCGGCTGGTAGCCTAGTATATATATATATATATATACAGGGTCACCAGCCCGTACATATGGAGGTCCCCGGGCAGAAATCCATACGTACGGGCGTTCGGGGTCCCGTACTGGGTCCGAACCCGACGGCGTTCGGCCCCCGCCAAAAATTAGTTTTCGGCCTAAAAATAATTATTTTTTTCTAAATGTTTTTTTGTGACTTTTCTTTGAAGTGAGTTAAATGCCTGTAAAGTTGCAAGTCATTTGGCCAAGTCAAATAAGAATTAAAAATCGCCAAAGATGGCGGTGTCAAAACGTGCTCGCTTACGAATTGTTTCACTTTTTACTTTTTGTCTTCACTTTAGTTCGGGGTCCAAACAATTTTATTATTTTTTGAAACTTTTTTAGTGGGTTTGGTATTATGTGAAGTACACATTTGTCAATTTTCAGGGCATTTAGCTATGCAAAAAAAAAAATGAAAAATCGCCAAAGACGGCGGTGTCGAAAACATGCTCGCGCACTCACTAAATTTAATTATCTTTTTATTTTTATTTATTTTTTTATTAGTATTTGTTTTCCGTATTTTATTTTTATTTCAAATTTGGTAAGGAATTAGGATGTAATGCTCAGGCAAATATTCTTTAATTTATGTTTCTCCATAACATATCTTTTTTTCATATTTTGTTGATGACGTTTTTTTTTTTTTTTTTTTTGGTCCACGTTCGGCTCGAACCACCGAACGCATCCCCAAAGGGTCCCATACGTTCGGGCGTTCGGGTTCGGGCATTCGGCCCGTCCTAAATGCCTGTTACCCTGTGCATATATATATATATATATATATATACATATATATATATAGGCTACCAGAGTGGCCCGGGGTCACTTGCCCGTCCGGGCCAAAAACATTAAAAATAATAAAAATAAAAATATTATTTTTTAAATATTATTTTTTAAATTTTATTTTTTATTTTGAAATTGGTGAAGCATTTCGATGTGATGCTGAGGCAAAAGTTGTTTAGTTTATTGTTTTGCATAACATATTTTTTTTGTGGATTTCTTAAATTTCTGTTTGTTTTTTTTTTTTTTGCTGGGACCATTATTGGTCCTTGCACGGGCTGGCCACCCGGGACCCGGGCGGCCCGGCTGGTAGCCTATATATATACATATATATATGTATATATATTTTTTTTTATTATTTTTTTGACTTATGCGTGTCATCCTTGCACAAGGCCATGTTAATCTGCGCGGCTTATCTCGGCCGTGTGATCTCTTCGATCACACGGTCGAGATGGACCGCGCCTTCAGTAAGTGAGGGCTGCTCCAAAACGGAGCTAGCCCTGTTGGGCGCGTGCGGTCAGGCTCGATCCCTAAATCTGCAGGGTGACAGTTTGACGACGGTACCTACTGGGCTAGCTCCTTTCACAGGAGCGAAGCTGCAATACTTCTATTTGAAGTGGTGCAGTACCCAGTAGGCCCTCCCTGGCATGCCCAACCCCCTTTTGCTGGCCGTCTGCCCTTGCCTGCCTGAGGCCTTAGGTTTTGCTTGCTTGAGGCCCTGCAGGTCTCGCCTTCCCGCTTATCTATCGTTTCTCTGTGGATGGCTACCCATCCACAGCTTCGGGGTCAACCCCCACGGCTAAAAAAATAACAATAAATAATAGGTTTCCTTATTCCTTTTCGCGCCGTGGCTCCATACCCGGCACATCCCCGTTTTTAGCCTACTTAGGCCCTGAATCGCGAGGCTGCTAGGCAGGATAGGTCTAACTTTTGTCTTTCCACGACCGCACATCTATGCGGTCTTATTTCGTCAGACCACTTACCAGAAACTTTCATCAAAGTTCGGACTTCATCCAACATTGAAAATACAGGGCAGATACCCTTGTTAGGGTTTTTGTCCCGACACCGCTTTCTTCTGAGCTTCGACACTCAGGTAGAGGAAGGTTTTTACTTTGCATCAGCAAGTTTCTGGAATGTTCATACCCCAATTGTCCTTCATCTCATTGAGCTCCCGAAACATCCACAGCCAAATCCCTGGCCACAAAAGGATCGATCTCCATCGCGAATAGTTGTCGTTTTCACGGACGGAACAGGAGGGAAGAGTGAGCTCGACCAGTTCCCCTTCTACTAGTTTTGGGGGTTCACACGACCACTATTCCACCGTGATGGGGAACTCCTCTACTACTGCTGGGGGCCACATTCACTCGAGCTAACCCATTTTTTTGTCTGAACAGTGGAAAAAATAACAGGAGCAGAAAAAGGAGGAAAAAAAGACTCAAATACTTAAAAATATTTTGGCAACACCTACCCTCCCCTAGTTGGGATCGGGTTCGGGATAATGTCCCTATAAGAAAGTTGCCTACCAAGGTATCAGAGAGGACGTAAACAAACCTGGATATGAAAGGTGTCGAACTCCGGGCTCGAACGAAGCTTTACACGTTTTTTACTCGAGTTTCCTTGAACACAAGGCACGTTCTCTATTCGAGGGAATTCAACTCGTCCCTCCCATAGGCGCACTTCAGATCAGCGGAACTCGTCCCCTAGTCAAAAACTTAAAATGTAATCAGTTGATACTCGTACTTTAAATGTTTAGGTAATTATATGATTTTTAAGAAATCTTTAAAATTTTAATTATTTAAAAATCAGAATAAATGTGAAACAACCAGTACTATACCCTCAGTGAGAGAAGGTTAACAACAGCCGTATTTTTCATCAACACTTCAGGACACCATTCACCACTTCAGAATGCAGTCTGCCTTAACATGTGGTTTTCAGGGCCTTCTGAGCTTTCACCACTTCATGACCATTCAGGTCTGAAAATCCTGAATGGTCTTGAAGTGGTGAAAGCTCCGAAGACCCTGAAAAC